CAAGTTCTGTGTCCACACACACACACACACACACACACACACACACACACACACACACACACACACACACACACAAATCTACACGCACACACTTAACACGAACACACACATTCATTTGACTGATGAATACATGAACTTGACTTCTTTTTCTTTAACTATGGTTTAACAAGTGTATCAGCAAAAAAAAAAGAAAAAAGTTAGATGTTAATATGAATATATAGTATGTACTTGTATATTCTTTTACTCTGTGATAACATTGTGGCGATTTGCTCCAATGGAAGAAATTCACTTTAAAATTTTGACGTATAAATTATTGGAATGTGATGATTGATGACATTTTATTTTATTTTACTTGACGAATATGATAAAAAAGAAAGATGTACAGTATATTCACTCATATTTATGCTAGAGAGGTTAAAGAGGAGAGGACCACACATATTGCTATTCATTCAGCTTTGCATATCCACTGCTAGATTTAGTGTATGTAGCTTCTTTTTACCTTTTTTGAGAGAGTTTGACTCCAATCCTTCCCCTATTCCTCTATTGACATCATATTTCCCAGGGAGCCTGTAAACATTGGCTTTAAGTTTTTCTTGTACTGTGCATAAACGATGTGTAAACAGTCTCCAAAAGTGCAACATCTGTTCCTCATCCGTCCCAGATTTCGTACAACTATCAGACAATTTACTGTGATAATGGAGATTATTTTTATGACTATGACACACAGTAACATATACTCAACTGACAGAACAAAGCACTGACGTTGGTTAGCGAGTAACGGCAGCATTCACCAGACCTCACTGTGTTTTTCTAGGGCTTACTGAAAGCTCTTTACTGCCTACATTGTACTTCATTCACACCTGCCTGTCCCCGCTGGTCTATAAACATCATGCGATACAGTCGTCTTCACAGGCAGATGAATGAGGACTGTGGTGGAAAAAAAAAAACACTTGTGATAAATTATCTAGGCTTCTGCACATTTCAAGTAGGTGATCTGGTACTTCAGTCCCACATTTCACTTCAGTAGCATCTTGTGGTCAAGTGCCAAATATAGATGAATTAAATAAAAGAGAAAAAAACACAGTATTGTATCCATTTATACTGTACAGTTATTACCTGTCGAACAAAAGAACTGTATCATTTTGTAGATTTTGTATTGTTAATGCATTATGTGTTATGTGTAGAATGTCCATTTTGTTATTCAAATAAAGGCAAAATGGGAAAATGGCCAATTGTCCTATTTCTTATATATATATATATAATGCGTGGCTCAAGGAAAAGTTGGTTCGTCGGTAGGACCATCGGATGGATTGCTATTATATTTAATGGTTCCCAGAGAATAACCTGTACTTGGACACAACCTGACAGCCCCATCAGGTCAAGTATTTATTTTGTAAACCAAACTAAGATGTTGAACATAGTAAGCTATATACTATATATAAATACAGAGGCAACATTGAGTTGAGACCAGTATATAACTGTTTGACATCTGTTAAAAACTGTAACAGCATGTAGAAATACAGTTACTATAAAATAAATCTGAAACCAAACCATAGTTCTGCCACAGAGAGACAACCAACCAGTAAAAGCCCTAGCTAAAGCTAAATTTACATTTTCTTCTACCTCTTTCCAATTGAAGAATATACAATTTAATGAATAGACATTGTGGTAATTCAGTTTGATAACCCACACAACTAATGGGGCAGTAGTTAAATCATGATGAAGAAAAAAGAGCCCTCTCTGAGAAGAGGCCAAGCCCAGAGCTGCAGGACTTCTGGTTTGGGGAGCCATATCTGACCCTCTGCCTGGGAGAGAAGGTCCACCCTGACCAGTAGGGCCCAGTGTTGACTGTGAACAAGTGTTGGAAACCAGTACCATCCTTCTGGCTACTCTAAAGGGGACCTCCCTTAACCTTGAGGGAGGACCACATCCTGCAATGGGTTGTCTCTGCTGCCGCGAGTAGGTCGGTCTGGGCCGTGCCGAACTGAGGCCATTAGAGGGCTTCCACTTCTGGTTGGAGCCTCAGACAGGAGGCTGCCCAGTTTACAACCGCTAGATTTCCCTGAGTAAAGCCAGACTGAGTAAAGCCCTGAGAAAGGCTCAAAACAGGAGTTTCTGTGCCACCTGGAGGCAGGGACCTGGGGCCTCCCTGGTGATTTACGTGATACACAGTGGGGTGAACTGTTCTTATCAAGACATGCCTGCCCTGAAGGGGAGGAGAGCCTTCAGCGAAAAGGGATCAGCTCTTAATTTAAAGACGATGATGTGTTCGCTGCCCCAAAGTGGGTTTCCACACCCCACGTACCAACCAACCTTCACAGACTGCTGTCCAACCTGTCTGTGTTTACCAATGTGCTTCTTGAAGAAATGTTCTCAAGAGGGACTCCTTGGAGCAAAATCACCCTGTCCCTCCATGGGTGTAAACCTTCAAGACGTGTCACCTGAAGTTTCATGTTTCTGTCCCACCTCGGGTAGAGGGTAGTGGCATTTAGCCACCCCTGTAGCCTGAAGGAAGAACAGCGGGTGAAATCTTGCCACTTAAACTACATCCTCTCTAACTGCCTACCGAGATGGAATAGTTTGACTGCATGTCTTACAAATGGGGAATGTTAAGCATAGGTTTATCAATATGCTCCTTTTGATTGAGGTAAACCATCAGGGAAGGATCCCTTCGAGCGTCTAGGCTCTTTAAGGTTCCTGTAGCCGGATACTGGACCTCAACTCTACCCAATTACAGCTGAGCTGTGCAATGTGGCTGGGGAGTTTTTTACCTGGACCCTGCCCCTGCTTCACCCGCCTGGCTCTTTTATTGCCCAAGCCAAAACTCAAGAAAATTCACGATGGCCATCACGGGGGCCCAAGACACCCCAGCACTGAAATAAAGAGCAGTGCCCAACAGCTACGGCTAGCTGAAAAAGGGGGAAGCAATAATCAGGCCTCTCACAGCTGGCCACAATCACTTACATCAAATAAAAGGTGAAATAAAATGTGGTTCAGCACCCATTGTATGCCGTAATGGCAAAGAGGGAAGCAATCAGAAGCCCACCCACTGTGAACAGTGCCATACAATCAGCACTAAAAAGTAACAACCAATATAAATCCCAATGTATTTCATATATAGAGTGACAAAAAGGTAAACAATCCCCCATTGCTGCATACAGAGGTAAAAAGGGAAATTGACAATAACCAAATAAATATAAAGAAACAGTCATGCACAGATGAAGGCATAATAACATTTGTATATGTTACACGTTTTTTTGGAGCCAGCTTGAAAACTTTTTTCTCCTCTTGATTGTTTCTGTAGTTATTGCTTTTTGCCTTTGCAGGGCAGTATACCTGCTTAACATCAGTATGTTAGCATTGTCATTGTGATCATTGAGTATGTAGCATTAGCATTTAGCTCAAAGAAACTTGAGCCCTAGGAAGAGCCTCACAGAGCTGCTAAAAATGACATCTCTATGTTAATGTCTTTATTCATTTTTTTCCAATACAGCCAAGCACATGAGATCTACACAACAACCAAGTGCCATTTGTCACCCCTCAAAAGTTGTTTACAGCCCTCTTTAAATCGTCTACATCTCATGCGAGGTCCTACTAACAAATATTTAGGCTATTTGTTGACACGTGAATAGTACATGGCCAAAAAATAGAGATAAAGACATTGAAAAAACTCCTTGAGTACTCTTGAAGAGGGTGACTATAAAAAAAGTCACTGGAATGTAAAGTACTTGAAATCCTTGGATAAATTGCTAAAGAAATGCAAAACATGGTCATTAAAAGCATTAATAAATAATAACACAACTAACAAAAAAACAATGGCATGCAAAAAAGCTGCTAAGTTACTTAGGAGTTAGGACCAACTAATTCAAGCTGCGGCTACATACAATACATCAGGCATTTCATGAGGCTACTCCTGATGTGTTATTTGGCAAAAACACAAGACTGTACAGAATGAGAATAAGTACAAATTCTTTTATACAATAAAAACTGTGGAGGACACGGATCTCATACTCACAATTTAGAGGATGAGTATGCCGAGGAAGTAAAATATAACCAGTTCATAAGAATTTCTACAATGTCCCTTTTTTTATTCGCGTCCTCCTCCTGCACAGAAACATACGCCTCGCTTCATAGTGTAACAGTGTCAGAGAGGGACCGGGTGTTGTCGACGTTGACTTCAGAGCGTCGGAGCGACGCTGCCAATTGACTGTCTCCAATACTGTCAGTCAGCTTATCAGCCAATCTATAGCAGCCTCGTAGATTTCAGCTAACCAGCAGTCACAGTGTCCCTTTTTGCATCTCAGCCCCTTCGGGTAGGCTGGCAAGCTGTCAGATCTCTGTCAGCGTGATCTTGTAGGCGTCTGCGTAGTTCTCGATGTTGAGGATGAAGGTGTCTTCATTGGAGTAATGCTCGATGATGTTATCGTCCATGTTCACCAGGATCCTGACATGAAAGACACTTGAGGTTTAATTTCATGCTACTTTGGAGACACAAGCCTCCAAATAGGCCTGAAATGACAATCTGCTTCCTCACTCACCCTTTTTTACTTTTCTTGTACACTTTGGCTATCCTCTCGGGGGGCACGCCGTACTTCTCTGATATCTACGAATGACAAATGAGAGCAGTTTGTGAACAGGTGCTGCGATTAAATTGTGCCTTTGGCTCTCTCACGTCATCAGAAAGGCCTCACTCACGGCGTCTGTCAGGCCTCTCAGCGTGGGAGACTTCAGCATCAGAGCGTCAAACACCTCGTCCGTCTCCTTCCTTACGTACAAAAGCACTGCAGACAGAGGAGGAATAATAAACATTCACCTGTTAGCTACAGTATTAGTTTGTATAATTCATATAGAGAAACACTCTCAGAGAGAGAGAGACCTTTGGGTGTTTGTTACGTTCACATTTTTTATATATATGGCCAGAAATGATAAGAAATACCATCACAAGTCACCAGACTATAAAGTGATGTTAACAATATAATCACCAAATAATAAATAAATAAAATCATTCTCAAAACAATTAATCTAAAGAAACTAATCATTAATAATTTAGTAGTCATATATTAGTACTTATTATCCAGCATCTAAAATGTAAGGGTTTGCTGATTCCCTGGGTTTTATATGTATTTGTATGTATATATTGTATATTGAATATTTTTGTATTTTCATGTTTTTAGACAAAAAAAGCAATTTAAAGACATCACCGTGGGCTATTTTTTTTACTTCCACAACAACCCACTAAGGGAGATTGTGTAACATGATTGAAAACTCCATGAATGAATCAATCAATCACAAATCTGACACCAACATGACCTTAAAAGTGCACAGGGGAAAAAATGAATTTGAACATCTACAATTCCAGGACAACTTGGCTCTCAACTCTAGTCTGCTACGAAAGATTAATTCAGATGAATGGCTATTAAATGGATGTTGCGGTGAGATTGTTTAGTAAAGGATGAACTGATTAGGTGAGAGTAATAGTTGCAGTTCTAATTAAAATGATTTGCAATAAAGACAAAGAGCTAAACTTCACATATGAGAGGCTGTAAGCAGAACGTGTTTGCTATTTTTTTGCTTGACTACAGCCTGGTAACAAAAGTTAGGCTTTGGTCTGGTTTGTGTTCCCTCATTTCACATCAAATTGGAGCAGGTATTTCTCTGTTCTGTGTCCTTCACTGATGATTTCTTGAAGTCAGTTTAAAAGAGAAAAGAAAAGCAGAGGATGAAGCCACCATCTTGTACCTCTCTTGTGTGTCTCCTCTTTGATCTGTTTTTGAGGGGACGGACACAGTTCTTCATCTGACGGCCTGAACATCCTCTTCACCAGCACACTCCTGAAAACACACACAAAAACAATTGTGTGTCATGTGCCATGACACATATGTGCCGTGTTTGCATTTCCACTGTATGTATTTGCACCTGCTTTCATTTGCATACTTTATATTTGTATGACTTGATGTAAAATGTTCCCACACTCACCCTTCTCTCTCGATCTCCTCTGTGTTGAAGGTAAACACCTGGAAATTAATGTAGGTTTTAGGCTTTATGCATGAATACAAACATTACTTAGATCTGTACTAAAAGTACCAATACAAGTTAAAGTCCTGCATTCAACTCCTACTTAAGTAAAAGTACAGAATATTAGCTATTTTATATTAGTGTTTGGCCAACATGGGATTTTTGAGACCAATACCTAAACTGATTTAAGAGGATTATGTATATACATTTATAATTTTGTTGTTGTTGTTTTTTGGGGGCTTTTATTGTCTTTAATGGCTGGTGACAGCTGTAGAGTGTCAGGACAGCGGGGGATGGCGACAGGTCGGAGCTGAACCTGTGGACGCTGCAGCAAAGACTTAAGCAAGGCCACCGGGGCGCCCCTGCTTCTTCTCTCTTACTCTGTGGTGCTTGCCACAGTATTGTAAATCACAGTGTACTCTGCTGAATAAACTTTGCAGTCACACAAATATTTTTCTTCTTTATATACTGGGGGATACTGGGGTTTTGTAGGCCGATACTACTACCGATATGTCTACGATAGGCAAGTGGTTCCCAAAGGGTCACAGGATGAATCTGAGGGGTTGTGAGATAATTAATGGTGTAGGAAAGAAGGAAAAATATAGTTCTGCTACACAAATTTATATTTACTTTTTGGACATTTCTCTGTCCTTTGTTTTGTGATGTGTTATGTGAAATATCGGAAACAGTTATTTGAATAAAACCAGTTCAAAAAAAGAAAATCTCACTATAAGGGGTCTGCTCTGCAACCCATAGACATATGAAATGTGAAAGCTGACACTGATCACACACTGTTTTTTATAAAGGGTCGAAAGCCAAATAAGTTGGGATCTCAAAATCTTCATAGTAACATTGAATGGTCATTGAATCTGTCTAATAAGTGTAGAGGAGTAAAAAGTACAATATTTCCCCGTAATTAAGTAGAAACAGAAAGTACTTGAGTAAGTAGCCACTGAGTCATTCTGAAATTACAGTGTATTACGTACCAGTTTCACCTTTGAGACGATGAACTGATAAGAAAACAAGTTCTTTCGCTTTTGTTTATAGAGAGAAAAGTGTGTGTGCGGGACATCTACCTGTCCGGCTCTCTGCAGGTTGCCGAAGTGAACGTCTGGGATAAAGAGTACGGGCTGAGCCTCCAGGTCCGTCATGGTCTTGAAATACGTGGTGTCAGACTTCTTGGGAACACTTATCACGCCAACACCTCCATCTTTCCCTGTGAAAAAGAATATTTCATGTGAACTAAAGTGTTTCGTACCTCTTCTGCCCTCATATCACACCATGATTTATATTATTCTCTGATTTTGATGCAAAACATTTCAACAAAACATGATGTAACTCAAACCTTTTGACTTCTTGCGGAACAGTTTTCTCTCTTCGTCCCTTATTTTCCTCTCCGCTCCCTGACAAAAACAAATTGAACACATCAGTTTGTGGAAACGCTACGAGCCTCCTTTAAACACACTGCTCCGCTGACAAAAAGGAGTAATCACTAGGTCATTTCTGCTGGACAGTCTCAATTTTCTGAAAATCAAATGGGAGCGTCTCACTTGAAAGTGTGTTTTTTTTCATTATATGGTGTGTGTGTGTGTGTGTGTGTGTGCACAGGTGTATCTGGAGCCTCACTGTGCAGGTGAGACCACTAGAGGGAGGACTGATGTCATAATTTAACTCCCTGACTCCACCTATACACCTGAATATTGTGCATTCAAACGCTTCCTGTAACACAGTTATAATATCTGCTGCAGCATTTTCACTTCATGTTCAACACAGCTTAGAAACACTGGAGATAAACACCTTTTTCATTATTGTCACATCAACCCAGACAACTAAAACTCTTGACAGCAGCAAATTAGTATTCATGTAGCATATAGGTACAAAAACGGTATTATAATTGAAGAAGATTGCAAGATTTTAGAAAATGAGTTTGTTATGAGTTGTAAATTTATAATGGAAAAAACAAGAAATTTTAATACGCCACCTTGGGCTGTGGGGAAATTACACTATTATCACTATTATATGAGGCATTTTAAAAATAAAATAACCGCTTACTCAAGAAAATGATCATTAGTTGCTTTTATCTCAACTAAGTGATATTGCTCTGTTAAGATGACTCATTTAATCTACTTAAATACATTGTTTCAGGGAGGGAAAAACATTATTACAATAATGTTTCCTAGAATACAAATGGTTCCCAGCGATTTCTCACCTTGTCACAGAAGACCTTGATCTGTGAGTAGGCTCTGTGCAACGGCTTGTTGCTGCGGTTGTTGTAGCTGTACGTGTCGATCTGGATCATCAGAGGAAGACCCTTGACCCCCTTCTGTGAGGAGAAGTCTGTACTCAGACAGTTGACTGTGATGAAGATCTACCAGAAACACAGAGACGGGAGGAGAGCTTTAAATACCTTCTCGCTGTAATGAATTTGGTGTTGTATCTATTTTCTTTAGAGGAATGTTTTCATTCCTTTGTACACAATTCAACCCACAAAAACATCCACAAATACTAGTGCAAATAGAAGCCGGTAATTGAACGGCATGGACCTGAACACAAAATGAGAAAACAGCACCTATTTGGATGTTTTTCTATTTATTTGTGGCTGAAGAACAACTTTCATTTTAAAAACATGAGTGGGTTCGCCAGCTCAGAGACGCATTCTGTATCTAAATTCAGCTCTGCATCCTTTAAAGTCTATAGGAGTGGTTTTCAATGCTCTGAGAAACACAAGGCATTTGGTTGGCAGGAGAAGTTTCAGATATCTTAAAATCCCTGTAGATAGAAATCAGAAGTACATGTAACTACATGGTTACATAGCTCTAGGGATTAGTGAGACTGTCATTTATTTCTGTATTTATCCACAGTTTTCTATGTGTTTAGGCCTTGAGAGGTACACCTGTGAATTTTCAATTTATATTTGCAATTTAAATCACTTGTGTGGGTCTGTTTGATGCTTTATAAGTAGGATGTAGCCGAATGAAGGTCTAGTGAGTGGATGCTTGACATGCTGCATGAAATACTTAAATTAAACAGCTTGTACCGACTCTTCTCTCTCCATATTTATTTTTTATGGCCTTCCTGAACTTTAGCATTGTGTCGTGTCATCTCCAAAGTGTTTCCCCAGCAAAGGCATATATCACATCCGCTGTTTACGACCCTGCTGAGCCGAGCCCTTCTAACTCATGTCAAAAACATGTGGGAAGAAGATCTGGGCGCAGAAATCACTGATGATGAATGAGAACATATGTTTGGCTTGGTGCACTCTTCATCCGTCTACACCAACACAAAATACTATTTAGAGTCTATTATTACTATCCTATTACAAAAGTTGCGACCACAACTTCCTGGGTTTGAGTCTGCATACGCTCCTTGCTCTCCACTCGACACCTCTCTAACAAAGGCACAAATAACTACAACTCAACTCAACAACAACTTGTGCTGTATCATCTCATCTGTGGTACAGTAGTTTGAACCACATTATGTGCACTTAACTGAAAAAAAGTTAAATCTAGCATCCATTGAGGTGTTTCTTATAGTTTGTTTAGAGTCATTCCTGAAAGCTGGATATTCTGATTTACTTTACAGGCAATAAAAAGTTAAGAAGTACTCCTTTATATAAAAAATACTCACACGTTTTATTATGTCTAAAAAAAAACATAAAATTCCCCCCAAATAAACCTGATCTATCTTAGACTTTGCCAACTCATAATTCTCCTTTGTAGAAATCGATAAAGACATTTTGAATAATTCTTTCACTTCATTTTCAAACATAATAAAGTACCTTGGCATTACACCTGTCCCTGATATATTAAGGCTCAATAGTCAGAGAGATTAAGAGAATGAAAGGGGAAGATGTAGAGAGGGAAAGAGAGAAAGAGTCAATATTGGCCAAGAGACGTGTGCTTGGACTTCCTCCAGCAATGTCTTTGTCCCCGGGCTGCCATTACAATGAAAGAACCACATAACACACACAAACAGAGACTGACTCACACACACATAGCCGGTTGCATTCACACAGAAATGAGGGCAAAACAAACAACAGAGGGTGGGGACGGGGATTGGTGTGTGTTGGCCCTTGGGGGGCCTCCGGAGTTCAAACAGTAATGTGGCTCCATTTAAGGAGTGGCCACAAAGGAGTGGGCTTCACAGAGACAAAGAGGACAAACAGAGCAAAAGTACACAACACTGCCCATCACTTTTATGACGGACAGTCAAAAACATAACATTGAGGCAAAGGAGCTGGTTCTGGCTTTCAGTTCTCGTACTGTAACAACATGTTGGTGATTTAATTCACTACTTTTAAAATGAGCTCTTGGGTATTTCTGGTGTCTGCAGGTTAGCTGCTTGCAACACAGTCAAAAGCAGGTTAATTTGTGAAGCAAGTGCATTTGTTTGCCAACACTTGAATCAGCACAAAAAAACCTGTCCCACTGCTTTTTCTTACATCTACAACACGCCTCCAGCCAGAGTAAATATAGTAGACCGGTTTCTAGTTAAATTACAGTGACATTTATGTCAGATTGTAATTTGTGTTTTGTACCTTGGCCTCTTCATTCACATCCCAGGTGAAGGAGATGGCGTTGTAGGCGATTTCTTCGATGTTGCCGATTGTGTTGAAGCTCTCCTTGTAATCAGCTGTGGGGGCAAACAGAGGGATGGTTTATTTCTGCTTTATCACAACAACTCTTCCAATGTAACTGTTTTTCTTCAATTTTCACATATCTGTGGTTTAAAAAAAACAACCTAATCAAACGTCATATCTTTCCCCCCCATACACGGCCAAAATATGTCAATAAATGACACAAGCAGGTAGCTATTGTTTGTTAAGATAAGCAATCAAATGGCACGCTTCAATTTTATAAGATAAACCCTTATCTGCTTCTGCAAACAAACTCTCAAAGCTTCAAAGGCAGCAAGAGGAAACACAGGAGGCTATCTGGTCCTGAGAACCATATTAAAAACCAGTCAAGTGAGCACATTGGCTGGCTATTGTTGACCTGAGTGACTACAGACTGGAGGGACTTTAAATGTAAGGAGGTGAAAACACTGGTATGATGTGGAAAAGGCTCATACTGAAAAGAAATCCTGGGAGAGTTACAATCACCAAAGGAACATACTTTTTTTCAGTTCCAAGAAAAACAAGATTTTGAAGATAAGTAGCTCTCAAGATGGCAAACACCATGTTTCAGTAACGACAGTGTTACTTACCTACTTAATAAGAATATTAATAATTTACATTCTTGCTATTAACAAAATCTCCTTAAAAAAAAAAACCCAACAATGAGCTGATCCACATAACAAGTACTAAAACCACATTCCTCTGTGCCATATAACTCTATTGTTGTCCATAAACTATTAAAAACACACCAATCTTCATTACTTCATTACAATGAACATAGGCACTAGTTTATTCTGAGTCTCTTTCACACATACACCATTTTGCTGCCATAAACACCCACTAAAGCACTATATGTGTGTCAGTCCGCAGCTGAAAATAGGCCCCAACAAATGCACTAACA